GAAGAGTTCTGTATTTTTCTTTTTTATTTAATGTTAGTATTATGAGCATATTCACATGTCAATAAAATTCTTTAAAAATCGTTCATGTATGTATCATATGCCATATTTACCAATATTTATTTAAACCTTCCCCAGTTATTGAACTTTCCACCTGTATTCAATTTTACTATTATGTGTGAATACTTCCTTAAAATAGATTCCTAGGAGCAGTATTACCAGATGAACTTCTTAAACAATCTTAATACCTATTGCCAAATTGCATTTGAGAAATATTGCACTAATTTATATTCCCATCAAAAATATATGATAGCGACTGTTTCGCCTCATCATTTCCTGCACTATTTTAATTAATGAAATTAAATAAAATTTCTTCACTGTTTTAGCAGGCAAAAGAAGGATTTCATTTTCATTAGCATTTCTTTGATTACTATCATGGTTATTTTTACGTTAATGACTCTTGCATTTCTTCTATGATCTGTTTATATCTTTGTTTATTTTTTAAAATAATCAGGCATATGGAATAATTGTACAGTTGGAAAATCCCAATGGTTTTCTTATCGATTTGTAAGATTGCTTTATATTTAGGGGAGTTGACATTTGGCATCTTTGCCTTAATTTTTAGTTTTTTACTTATGTTATTTCTTTGCCATAACATCTTTGTATTTCCTGCTTTATAATGTGTGTCAGTATACGCGCAGGCAAATATCTCTCCCAGTACAATACTTTTCTTTCTTTCTTTTTTTGTGAGGAAGATTGTGGTGGGACACCACCACAGCATGGCTTGATGATTGGTGTGTACGTCTGCACCTGGGATCCGAACCTGCAAACCCCAGACCCCCAAAGCAGAGCACGTGAACTTAACCACTATGCCACTGGGCTGGTCCCCAATACCCTTCATTTTTGAAATTTGCTTAGACTGTCTCATCTGATTGCTTCTCCAAATGATATTTAGATTTATTAAATTAAATACAAAATGCTTCTGGGGTTGAACAAAGCTGCAAAGTCATTTGGTGCTGGCCTTTCAAGTCTCTGGTCAGGCGTCGTTTCATCGAGCCCAATTCCCCTGGTTGAACTGACCATCTCATGTGGCTCCTGCCCCATCAGGGTACACAGAAGGCTCCAGAGCATGTGTGGGTGACAGGCAATATATTATATAGTGGTCTTCGTACCCCTGGGGTCTTCATACCCCCGGAGTCTGGCTCAAGCGGCTTGTACTGAGTAAAGGGATAAATCAATGAGTGGGTGAGTATTGGCATTTGGATGAATGAATAAACAAATAAATGGATAAATAAAATTTACTGGCAGCCTTCCTTTTCCCCTTCCCATGTCCCCTTCCAGAGACTCTTTCTCCTCTTGCTTTCCTGGGAGAACAGATCACAAAAGAGACTTACAGGCTTTCTGTAATTTAGTTGTGTCCAAAACGTCTGCTGATGGCTTCAGAAAATCTCACAGCTCCAGGCTTACAGGGTCCCTGTGTTTTAAATTATCCCAAGGCCTTGCCACAAGGCAGGAAAGACCGCCACCCACGGCCCTGGGAGGACTGGGATGCTGCAGACGGGAGGGGCGGGGCGGCACACATGTGAGGCTCACGCTGGAGGGCAGCTCTAGTTAAGGAGGTGTGCATGGGCAAGGGCTCCCACCACGGGGGCCTGGCAGGGGGATGCGGGCCTCCCAAATAACCCCTTCCTGCTTCCAGGAGGGACAGTGCTCAGGTGGAGACAGAATGGCAGCCCTGCCGATTCTCCTTAGACGGTCATGACGCCTCTTCCTTTCCTGCCGCCCAAGTTTCAGCCTTTTCGCTGTTTCTCAGCTCCTACCATAGAACGTGAGAATGGGAAATGAAAGGACCAGAATAAACCTTGGGCAACTTCAGAGCAGGATATCTCTGCTATGTCCAAATGCCTGCACAGCAGAGGGATGTGACTGCACGGAGCCGTGTCTGACACAGTGACAACCATGGACTTAAAAATCAGTGTTCTTTTTTCAAAATTTTACCCAGAGAATTTCATGGGAGAAAGTGTTAGTCATGCACTGAGTTGGTATATCATTTGAAGTGGCTAATTAAGAGGAAGACTGAGTGTGACAGGGAAGGAAATGTAAAATTAGCTAATGTCAGCGTTTCTACCTGCCCCTGCCAATACTGAGTCCTCTAAGTGTGGAAAAATCAAAATCTATTCCTTTGGGCTGATGTTTCTCAAGCTTTAGTTATTAGAATCACCGTTTTGATTTTTGCTACATCTTCACATGTTATATTACTTAAACATTGTACTTAAATAAGTAACCATATTTTAATTATAATAGTAAATCTTCATATGATACTAACCAGGTGCCAGCTCCTCTTCTAAGCCCTTCAGATGCATTTATTCATTTAATCCTTGTGACCACCCCATTGGATGGATGGTACTATTGTCTCCATTTCAAAGTTGGAGTCTCTGAGAAGTTAAGTAACTTGCCATAGTTACACACCTAATCAAAGACGTAAATAAGAAATGGAAGGCTATTATGCTAAAAAAAAAAGAAAATATAGGACAAAATGGAGAAACATTGGTATTTAAAGATGGGAAAGGAGCCCTTAAATTACACTTAAATAACGTAAGCCAAAAGACAAAACTTGATGAATTTTGTTTTATCAAGATTAAGGACGTCTATTCAATAAAGGATATTATACATTAAAGGAATATACAGCTGAGACAATGATAGAAGTCCTTTGCTATGTCTAAAGCATTAAGAAATTAAACTCCAGAATCTACAAAGAACTTTTGCAAGTCAACAAGAAATGACAGCAAACCCAATAAAAAATAGTCAGAGATAAGAACAAGTAATTTACAAAAGAAGAAGTTTAAAAGCCTAGCAAGCAGATAGAGGTTCTAACTCATCAGTAATCAGAGAAATGAAAATGAAACAACTATGAGTGTCCCTTTTCTTGTTAGACTAGCAAAGATTAGAAAGCAGTATAAGGCCAAGTATTGGTAAGGATGTGGGGAGAGGCAGCTTCATGCACAGTTAGCGGTGACGTGGACTGAACTTATTTACTCTCTTTATAATCGATAGTTTCCAGTCCAAGTCTGTATGAGGATATTGCAGCTTTATTTGTGAGAACAGAGAGCTGGAAGTAATCTTGGTGTCCATCCCTAATGGAGTAGATAAGTAAAGCGTGGAGGATAGACTCTACGGAGTCCTGCACCACAGGTAAGAGGAATGGATTGGATATTCTACATAGCAATGTGGATGAGCTTGCAAACCAAGTGCTATGTTGAAAATTAAGAAACAGGTATCATTTTCCCAAATTAAAAATATTACATAAAAAACAACAGTATGTATTTTAAGGCATAAAAAGAAAATGAAACAGAATTACTGTATGATCCAGCATTTCCACTTCTGGGTATAGACCCAAAAGAATTGACAGCAGGGTCTCGAGGAGAGATTTGTTCACTCATGTTCATAGCAGCGTTATTCACAATAGCTGAAACAGAAGCAATTCAAGTGTCCATCAAAGGACGAATGGGTAAGCAAAATGTGGTAAATACATACAGTGGAATATTATTCAGCCTTAAAAAGGAAGAAATGCTGATGTATGTTACAACATGGATGAACCTTGAGGACATTGTGGTAAGTGAAGTAGCCAGTCACAAAAACACAAATACTGTGTGATTCCACATAAATGAGGGCCTGGCAGGAGGGACAAATGGAAGCTATTGTTTAATGAGTATGGAGTTTCACTTTTACAAGAGGAAAAGAGTTCTGGAGATGAATGGTGGTGATGGTTGTACAACATTATATATATATTTAATACCACTGAACTGTACACTTAAAAATGGGTAAGATGGTAAATTGTATGTGTTTTTTTGTAAATTTTTTTAAATTTAAAAAATAGGATAAAAAGAAAAGAAAATGATACACATTAAAAACCTTAGAATAGGGGGGCTGGCCCCGTGGCCGAGTGGTTAAGTTCGCGCGCTCCGCTGCAGGCGGCCCAGTGTTTCGTTGGTTCGAATCCTGGGCGCGGACATGGCACTGCTCATCAGACCACGCTGAGGCAGCATCCCACATGCCACAACTAGAAGAACCCACAACGAAGAATACACAACTATGTAGCAGGGGGCGTTGGGGAGAAAAAGGAAAAAATAAAAAATCTTTAAAAAAAAAAAAACCTTAGAATAGGACTCCTGCTTTTGGTCATGACATTTTTCCATTCATCTGTTGGTAGATGTTTGGGTTGTTTCCATACCTTGGCTATTGTGAACAATGCTGCAATGAACACAGGAGAACAGATATCTCTTTGAGATAATGATTTGGTTTCCTTTGGATATAGACCCAGAGTAGGATTACTGGATTACATGGTAGTTCTATTTTTAATTTCTTAAACTTCATACTGTTTTTCATAGTGGCTGTACCAGTTTACATTCCCACCAGCAGGGTACAAGGATTCCCTTTTCTCTACATCCTCACCAGGATTTGCTGTCTCTTGTCTTTTTGTTGATAGACATCCTGACAGGTGTGCAGTGATAACTCATTGTGGTTTTGACTTGATTTTCTTGATGACTAGTGATGTTGAGCACCTTTTCATGTACCTGTTGACTATGTGTATGCCTTTGGAAAAAAGTCTATTCAGGTCCTTTGCCCATTTTTTAGTTGATTCATTTGTTTTCTTGCTATCAAGTTGTCTGAGTTCCTTATATATTTTGGATAATAACCCCTTATGGGATATGTGGTTTGTAAATATTTTCTCCCACTCCATAGCTTGCCTTTTCATTTTGTTGATGGTTTCTTTTGCTGTACAGAACCTGGACCCTCGTGTACCAAAAAGTAGGGAAGTGCTCAAAAAATGATGGGAAGGCAGAGAAAAAGGACATGGGATCCAGCTTGAAGAGGCTCCCACTAGATAAATCTGGAACAATTTGTGCATCAAAATAAATAAAGACAATATTAAACTCTATTCCATTGAAGAAAAAAGGAATCCATGAGGTCATGGCGATATCAATAAATAAATGAATAAACAATTGGAGGAGAAAAGAAGCTTTTATTTTACATTAGAATGCCAACTAGTAATAATCACTTATTAATTAATAACTACAAAATACTTTACAGTGGAGAAACTGGTAGACACCTTCTAAATCAAGTGACAAAGTTTAACATCTTTAGTCACGGGGCAGGTTGGCACCATGTGCCTCCTGATATCATGCCCCCCAAAAGGAACCATCTACCAAGTAACTGTACTGTTCAAATATGTTGCGGTCACCAAAGACAAGAAAAGCCTGAAGAATTGCTCTTGATTGAAGGAAACTAGAAAGACATGACAACTGAAACAAGGGATTCTGGATCCCGGGGTGATAAAGGCCGTTATTTGCAAAGTAGGCAAAATCGGAAAGACTGTAGATTATATGGTGATATTGTGTCAGTGTTAGTTTCCTGTTTTAAAAACATTCTGATGTGATGAGGCATCATATTTGCAACTTGCTCTCAAGTGGTTCTGGAGAAAAAATAGTATCTATTTTTTTATAAATATATATCTATAAAAATTATATCTATCTAGCTATCTATATATGTACCTATGTGCCTACCTACCTACCTATATGTCTATCTTTTGAGAGAGGGAGGAAGGAAGGGAGAGAATGATGAATTTAAGGCAAATGTGGCAAAATGCTGACAATCAGAGTCTAGGTGTGGGATACAGGAGTTTCTTGTGCTATTCTGGCAACCTCTCCGTAAGGGAGGAGTGGAGGAAACAGTAGGAACAACAGTAACAGGAGGTTGGGGTGTGACCGCATTCACACAGGAGCAGGGAAAGGAGGTGACAGGAGTGAGGCAGTTGGGAAGAGCTGAAGGTGTTCTGAGCCACTGAGGAGGGGCACTGGCAAGAGGCAGATCGCTTATCTGATAGAGTTGAAGAAAGATTGCTCCACTTTCCTGCTTTATGTCATGTAATTATCATAACAGCCCCGTGAGGTAGATACTAGTCTTATCCTCACTTTATAGATAAAGAAATTGGAGGCTCAGAGAGTCATCCATTCAACCAGCATGTACTGAGAGCTTACTATGTATCGAACTTTGCTGAAGTTATGCAAAAAATACTAAGTGTGATCGAATACGAGAGTGTGTGCATTTAGAAAACAATGCTGGAAGGAAATGCACTAAAATGTCAATATGCTAAGAGAGGCTGTGTTTGGGTAGTGAGATTACAGGTGCTTCCGTTTTCTTCTTTGGGCTTTTTACCCATTTCCAGTTCTCTACAATGAACATGTATGGCCTTTGTAACAAGAAAATAAATAATAAAATTATTTCAAAAATGGATTTGGAGGATGTTTTGAAATCTTCCTTGTTATGATATTGTCGGGGATCAAATATTGTTTTTTTATATACTTTTGTTTTAGGGGAAAATTTGCCCTAAGCTAACATCTGTTGCCAATCTTCCTCCTTTTTATTCCTTTCCACCCTTCACAAAGTCACAGTACATAGCTGTGTAGAATTGTCAATTCTCTGGTTTTCCCATGTGAGCCATGGCCACAGCATGGTACTGACAGACGAGTGGCGTGGTTCCATGCCTTGTTTAGTGAACCTGGGCAGCTGAAGCGGAGTGTGCCAAACTAACCACTAGGTCATCAGGGCTGGCTCTCATATATTGTTTTTTGATGCAGTTTTATTTTACCAAAGTAGCGGACAAATGTTTCTTAATTCCAATAAACCTCCTTCTTTCCACGCCACAGAGAGGGCTAGCAGGTTTATAAGTGGAGAGCTGACAACCAGCTTGACTCCCAAAGCCTATATTTGTCCACATTTTCTGTGTGGAAGCACAAGCCCAGGGCAGTGTGATCTCCTCCTCCCCAGACAAACGTTTTCCAGACCTTCATGATACCAGTTTCTTTGCACAAAGAAGGCATATGGCGGTAGTAGGTCCCTGCCTGAAGGGAAGGGAGGCTTGGTAAGAATACAACTCAAGTGTCCAGAAAGAGAGAAGCCAGCCCAATGGTGTCACTGTGCTGTAAGGGGACATCCATCCACTTAGGGTGCTTTCTCACTAATGGACTCCTTCCTCCCCTTTGCTGTCCTGGCACCACGGACTCCATAGCAGCCCCACCCATCCATCCTGGGTTCTGATGGCATCCCTGTGCCTGTCAACATCACAGAACGGACATCCCACCTGCATCTGTGTCTCCCAGAGCTCAGAGAGCTCACTTTGAACGGAGCAAGTCCTCAGTCGTGGTTGCTGGATTGAATTGATTTGTGCGAGCAATCAGGCGGAAATGGGTGGAGTAAATCAGGGTGCCTCCCTGGTGTGGAATTCAGTGCAGGCACCAGAAACAATGCTTTGGAATGATTTATTAGCCTGGAAAAGTGATCTCAACATACTAGTACTTAAAAACAACAACAGCAGAAGAGTGAGTACAATTGGAGTCCATCTTTGTTACAATCATAAATATGCATAGGAAAAAACTAACTAAAAGAAAATACATTAAAAAATATACAGTGGTTGTCTTTGGGTAGTGGGATTATAGATGATTCTGCTTTTTCCCCCTCTGTATTTTTAAGCTTTTTTGGAAACAATTTTTGTTATTGGAAAAATAATTTTAAAAGAAATATATGTCTGAGGAAACAGGGAACAAAGACATAATAAATGAGAGATCCTTGGTGAGAGATGAAGTGTTAAGGACGCTAGAGTAAATAAGTTCCTTTGAACTAAGGGCTCTCTTATCCTTCTTAGAGATGGAGTCCCCAGCCTTCCTGGTAGGCATTCTCTTGCTTCCCAGCCTCAAACACCATCAGCCTGCACACGAGGCAATTTTTCGCTTATGGGTCCAATGTGGCAGCCCGAACCCTGATCCAGAAAACCAGAAGGCTTGGATGGAGAGCCAGAGGAAGAGAATCAACTGTCTCCTTTTGCCTGTTAGTGATTTCTGCAATAAAGCTGTCAGAATTTACTGCCACATCACCCAACTTATAGGGAAGGGAGATTCTGAAAAATATTCAGAAACAAAGGAATGGTAAATGGAAATAATGACTCTCTGTCCTCTATAGCTATTCAAGAAGTACGACACAATATATATAAGGGCTGTGTCTGGCCCGCTGCCTGAACTGTGGGACTGTAGTGAATATAAAAATTCTCTCTCAGGGCTTTCTTAGGTCTACCGCCAATAGCAGTTCCGCAATCCTGCTTCCCATTAGGTCTCGAGTTCTTCCATTATGAGTTCTGTGCTCCTCAGGGTTTCTGAGAGCCTGACCCTGCAGTGGGGTTGGGGTGGGTGGGTGGATGGAAGTGGCTGTGGCTTCTGATTGGCTCGGGGCTCAGAGTGGAGTCAACCATGGAAATCACCGCTTCCGAAATCATTGGTGGTAGGGTAGGGTCAGGGGACGCTACAGTGGCTTTGTTTACAAATGTTAATGTTCACAAATTTGAAATCCTTTTTGGGCCCAAGACATTCCCTGGCACCTTTTGTCCCATTTTGCACATTTATTTCCTTTCCACCAGGGAGAAGTTTGTGGCGAGGACTCAAGCTCCAGAGGTGGTTTAGTCTAGACCAACTTTAAGCTTCCTCAACCCTGAGTGGTGCAATTCTGTGCTGCAGCAGGTATCAGAATCTGGCAGGGACAGCCAAGCTGCCTCCTCTCTGGCCAGCATGCCTGGCAGGTCATTCTCGCAGGGTACTGGATGGGCCTCCAAGGGCCTGAGTCAGAACCCAGCAGAGAGTTCATGCTCCCCGGTGGAGGGGGACATGGAGCTGGCCCTGTCCAGCCTCTCTATGGAGAGGAAGGGGAGCCACTTAGCCAGGTGCACGGTCACGAGCCTGTGGAACAACTGGCGCAGGTACTTTCGGAACCTCTGGCCGACAAAGACGTAGATCACAGGGTTGACGCAGCAGTGCGTGTAGGCGATCACCTCTGTCACTTGTATGGCCAGGTCCAGCTGTTTGCTCTGCTCACACTCATTGGTGAAAAAGAAGTTTTGGAAAGCAGAAACAAACACGGTCAGATTGTAAGGGGTCCAAAACAGGAAGAAGATGATCATGATGACAAAAATCAGACGGATGGCTTTTGCCTTCTTCTCATTTGGCCGTCTGAGCAGAATCTTTATAATCCCTGTGTAGCAGATGATCATGACCAGCAGAGGCAAAACCAGCCCTAAGATGTTCATCTTCAGAGCCTGGAACTGTTTCCACTCTTTTAGGCTTTCAGAAGGGAAATGAAGACTGCAGGTGTAATGAGAGAATTCCCCCTGGGTCTTGGAAAAGCACAAGCCAGGGATGGAAGCCAAGAGGGCCAGGACCCAGGTGATGATGCTGGTCACGATACCCCAGGTGACAGTCCGGGCCCGCAGGGCAGACACGGCATGGACGATGGCCAGGTACCTGTCGATGGTCAGCAGGATGATGAAAAGGATCTCGCTGTACAAGCCTGTGTAGTAAAGCCCTGAGAGCAATTTACACAAGCCATCACCGAAAACCCAGTTATCCTTCAGCTTATAGTCAATCCAGAAGGGCAGCGTGAAGAGGAAGAGCAGGTCAGAAATGGCCAGGTTGAGAAGGTAGATGCTGGTCATACTTTTGAGCCTCTTGTATTGCATGAGGACCAGGACCACCAGGATGTTGCCGACCAGGCCAATGACAAACACCAGAGAGTACAGGGGGGGCAGCAGCTGGGCCCCAAAGGCCCTCAGCTGTTCCTTTTGGCATGGAGTTGCAACCCCGTAGTCAAATTCTGTTGTCATATCATAGTCGTTTGGGGTCACTGAAATTTCCATCCTGGCTTCTCCAGGTCAAGAAAATGGTTTCTGTGTTTACTTTGTTGATAAAGGCGATGGGCTCTGGACAACAAAGACAAGGCAGTGATTACATGTCTTCAACCACTTGACAACTGCTTACTGAATGCCTATTGTGTCCTGTGCCCTGGGATGCAACGGTAAGCAAGGAGGACCCAGATCTTCTCTTCCCTTGTGGAACTTATAGTCTAACTGGGGGTGCAGGCAATAAATAAATGAGTACACAAATCATTAATTCAATTGCTTTGGCAATGAGTGTTGTGAAGGGAAACTCCAGTGGGTGGAGAGCATAAACAAAGGAAGATCTCACCACACTACTCATAGCCAACATTTCCCAAGTGCTTCCCATGGACTCGGCATTGGACTTAGTGTTAAACAACCCTTGGAGGGGTGCCATTATTGTTCCCCATTTTAGAGGTGATGACCTAGAAGTTTGGAGTGGTTAGGACACATATCTGGTGAGAACAAGAGCTGGACCTCAAACCTAGGTGGGTAAGCTGTCTTGTGCCCATTCCTGAAGCCACTTGGCTTTCCTGCTTCCAATCACAGAGCAATGGCTTTGCACTGTGGGGTCCACAGAAGGATGCTGAGAAGGAAAAAAGTTCTAACTGAGGGTTAAAAACTTACAGATGGATCTTGATGGCTTTTGGAGCTGCAATGATTCTCAGCCAGGGGTGACATAGCTCCAAGAAGGTACGTGAAAATGTGGTGTGGGCATTTTTTTTCTTTTTGGTTGTCTCAAAGATGGGGGCAGGTGGCAGTGCTATTGTCATTTGGCAGGCAGGGCCAAGGGTGTCCTGCAATGCAAAAATTATCCTACCCCAAACATCAATAGTGCTGCCATAGTGAAATCCTAGAAGGCCAACTCCATCCCTTACTAGATGAGGACACTGAGGGCACCGGAGTGGGCTCAGCCTGACCCACGTCACATTGCCATGAAGGGGCACAGCTAGGTCACTGGTAACTCCGTAGACCTGTGAGAGCTGTGAGGAGGATTCAGAGGAAAGTACAGGCCAGGTGGAGTGGAACGGCCTGGTGAGAAGTGGGGAGTCCGGGGAGGAATAGCACAGAACAACCTTGAGCTCAGCGACCAGGCGGTAGCCAGAGTTCTGCTGAAACAAGCTCTTAGGTATTTTTACCTAGGGCTGCCTTGAAACAAACAAAAAAGAACCACTGGATAGCTTGCTTTTGTAGGACTTCCCCCAACCCTTTCTTTTGAGCACTCATTTTCAATTACTAATTGAATACACCTCCCCAAAGATAGCATGGGCTTTGGTGTAACCTACCAGCTATGAGACCATGGACAAGTTAATCTACCTCTCTGAGCCTCAGTTCCTCCTCTGTATTGTGGGAAAGTAACTCTTACCTTGCAGGGCTACTGTAAGGTAATGTAGGAGAAAAGTGACCCCCTGGCTCTTACTGGGCCCTTAGTAAATATTAGGGTACCTCCTTCCCTGCAGTGGCCCTTCTCTGAGACCTGTCACCACCAGGAATGTCCCAGGTTCCAATCCTATTCTGGCTAATCTACCCCACTCCCCAAGTCCCCCCACCAAGTCTCTCTGTAGTTAATCTGGAAAATGAATGCTACTTGGCAATGATGGACAATGACAATCCCTCCCATGTGAGCTGCATTTTGAAATTTTCAATATATTGCCATCAGTCGGAATTGATTTGAGCTAAACGTCAATCAGTAAAGTAGGTGGTACCTACATCATAATTCCCATCTTGAACCTGGAGTGTCTAGTGCTCTTCCTTCTACACTGCTTAATGAATGTTTCCTGCTTACAAAATTCACATTTCTGCATGGGCTGTTGGAAATTAGGCACATGAGGAGTGTCGGGCACCCTGGCTAGGGGACTGTCATTTCCACTCAAATCCATCCCTATGGCTCACTCCTCCATCCCTGGACTTGCTTCTACCTGATCAGCTCTCTTTCTGGAGAAATCCAGGCTGAGAGTCACTAACCAAGCTGCGTTGGCGATTTCTGATTTCTGCTTCCTCTGCCAGTGCTGACAGTTCGGCTTGGCGGTCAGCACTTTTGGGTGAGCTGGCAGGTTTATCATGGAAGCAATAAGCAGCTTGGAGGCACAAAGTGCAAATGGTGCAACAATGAGCCTGTGGGTCTAGTTTCTGGAGAGTTTTGGCAAAGGTGAGGGCAAACTGAGTCAGCATTGTCAGGCACCGTTTGAAAAGAGAGTCTCCTCCATACCCCCTAGCCTCCAACTCCAGTCACTATTTTCCCAATTTGTCAGGCACCACACAACAACTCCAGGGTACGCTGCTCCTAAAGGGAGATCACTGGGTTGGGACCTTGGAGGAGAGGCCAAAGGACCATGTTGCCATGCAATCTGCCAGCACTGTTGTAGTCTGTGGCAAAAGTCTGCCCCAAGGTCACTGCACAGTGATCAGCTGTAGCCCTGGAGCCTGGAACCTTCCAGTGTCAGCATCCTTTAGCATAGGAGTGGGTGAAGTCTCCGAGTTGAGAAAGGACAGTCTGTGACAGTGGAGTGCCGAAGCTGGCTTATACTCGTTCATAAGAGCCAACAGCGGGCATCTCTTCCCACTTCTGCATTCTGCATGATGGTAGCTTGAAACTAATCCATGAATATTTACAGAAGGAAAACTGGCAAACATTAGAAATTAGGGCTCTTTTTTCAACATTGACCGGTACGTCAATGGCCCGCAGTCTGAATAGCCTAGAGCTGTCCTGCTAGTCAGCATGGGGACTAAAGGGTCAGTGAGTGGCACACAGCCTGGTGGCAGGCTGTGCAAACTTCTCGGAATTTCTAACTCTGAAAATCTGAGACCCTCCAGATTTTGTGGAGAAACAGTAGCCCCCTACCCCTCTGTCTTCAGAACAAAATTCTGACCTGCCTCTTTGTTAGTAGAGCAGAATGCATGCATCCCAAGAGGCCATCTGGCCAGCTCCCTGCCCACAGGTGGGTGAAATTCTACCTCCTCCCCAGACAGCCCACAGGCCTGATTTTGAGGATCCTTGGTTCAAGTTTTCTTAAGAAATTGATTCAGTATCTAATCATCCTTGCCTCTGAAAAGTTTTTTCTAATTAGTATTTCCCTCTTGCTATGATTTCTTCATATACCATGTTTGGTGTTCATTTACATGGGGAAATTTGTCAAGTAATTTCCTCTTGAGTAGCTTTCCACAGAAATTGCCTCTTGTCCCTTAATACTGGGCTGACTTTCTTAATCAGTCACCAGCAACCAATCATTCAAGAAAGCTCTCCCTTTTTTAAGCAAAAAACCTCTTATTTTGCATCTGAGCACACAGCCTTATAAATCCACCCAATCTCAGTCTTGCTATACAATTAATTGCTTCACAGATGCATCAATGAGCTCCTTAGACATTGGCCTGGCCCTCCAAGAATTCCCCACCTTTGAGGGGACACACAGGTAGACAAGTAATGCCCTGCGCAGGAGAAGGATGACAGCCTTCCCCAGCTGCATACCTGTCTTCAAAAAAGAGTGCCCTTGACAGCAACCAACAAGACAGAAAAGAAAGTGCCACTTACTCTGGTTTCAAAGGATTTTGTCCACGAAGTCTCTGTTTCTGGGGCTTTTCGAGCCTGTATGACTTCAAGGCTCAAAATCCTGATTGAGTAGGAAGTGCTCACTTCCTGTGTGATGATGAAGACAGGACTCTGGGGTTCTCAGTTTTTCAGAATGACAAGAAAGGAACAAAGTTCTTCTTTCTGTATGGTTGGATGTCCTTGAATGGCCACAACACCTACCAGTGGTCAGTTCCTGGAGGCCAAGTTCATGCCAAGGCTGTCTCTGGTCACTGGGCTGCACTTCTCCCTGGGAGCTCTGCCTTAAGGGGATTGGGTAGGATGGGGTTGGGTGGAGTTGAGTGGGCTGAGGCGATGACAATGAGGAGTACCAGAACTTGTGAAGCAATCAATTGAAGGCTAGAAACGTCTGTGGGGGTGGCATGGGGGCAGGGCATACAGTTCTTGTGATCAGTGACTAGCCTTTTTTTTTTTCTTTTAAAATTGCAAATGAGAGGATTTAAACATAACGCTGAGTCTTGTTCCTCAAAAAGATCTGGCTGATACGGTCTGAGAGAGGCTGCAGCTTCTCTTTGGCGCCCCCTATGTCCTCCACCTCTGACCGCTCTCTGTCCCCCTCTGCTCCCTTGTGTCCACCCCCCAAGTCCCACAGAGCAGTTTTACCTCGAGGAACCTCCAGCCTGGAGTGAGTACAGGGCTGTTGGTTGGGTTTCAGCCGTCCCTCTCTGGTCCCCGGCTCCTGTTTTATGCAATGGTCCGACACAGGCCGTGTTCACATCCCAGCTCTCCGCTGCAGACACGGGTGGATCACTGTGGCTTTCTCAGCCTGTTTCCCGCTGTGTCAAATGAGAGCACTGACTCCTCACACTCAGAGGAGGAAGCAGGAGGTCAGCTTGTGCATGAAAAATGCATGAGTGCCTGGCACGAGGAAAAACGTCTGACGAATGATGCTTGTTATGATTCTCCCCAGAGCTCCCAACACCTGCTCTGCCCCTGCGCTTGTGTCCCTCTGTTTCCATTTCCTCTCCTGTAAAATGGAGACTCTGCCAACCTTCCTCACAGGATTGCTGCAAAGCACCATTTCAGAAATCATGCATGTGAATGTGCCTTGAAAATGTCACATGTCCTTTCCAGGCTCAGTTTCCTCACCCGTAAGATGAAGACTTTGGATGAGGTGGCTCCATGTCCCCTTTAGTGGACCATTCTGTGAATCTTCAGGGTCGGGTCTCACCTCTTTGTCAGCCTGTCCACAGAGAGATGGTGCAAGGAGGCAAAGGGTAACTAGATAGACAGGCAAAGGGTAACTGGACCTAGGAACTGGCTGCCTTTGCGCAGGGAGTAGAGCACGAGGAGAGCACCAGCGATGGATGAGCCTGGCAAATCAGACAGTCCTGTGTTCAGACCCTAGGTCTACCTTTTACTGACTTTGCACGTGTTATTAAAGTTCTTGACGGTCTCTTTCCTCTTTTGTAAAGCGAAGTTAATACTGTCCACTTTATAGAGAGGATTAAACGAAGATTATATACGTACATGTGAATGACTGATTTGGGGGAGTGCTCGAAACATTAGAGATGCCTGTCTTAATTTGGGCTCTCCCTTGCAGATGCAAAAGCTGAGACAAGGATGCAGGTGCAAGTAGTGTATTTGCAGGGGATCCCAGGAAACACTGCAGGGGATGGGAAAGTGGGACAGGGAAAGGGAGAAGCTGATGAAGGGCGTGTTATTGAGCCCCTGCCACTGAAGGCAAGCAGAGCTCCATCCTTGTGGGGAACTCAGGGGCCCCCTCAGAGTCGTCCCAACTCCGGGGCCAGAGGGGTGAGGACACCAGGCGCATATCCATCAAGTCTCTACCCACCCGTCACTGGTTGAGAGCTGCTTCTTGTGGTATTCTGGCTTGCTGTCTGCCCTGGCTGTGGATCAAAGCTGCTCCCCAGGCAAAAAGCCCCGGGTTTTCAGGAAGCAGCCTCCGGGGTGTAGACGTGCGTGTTAAGGGATGTGGCCATGGGGCATTGACAGCCTCTATGGTGCTCAGGAAATTGAGGTGCCTGCCAGTGTTAGCACAGCTGAGCTCCCAGCTGCTTCCCCACCAGGGGACTCTGCCAAATTGACCACCTCTCAGCCCCGCTGCCAGGAGTAGTAAATGGGAGGTCTGCAGGTGCCCGGCTTCTCATAGTACTTTGCCAGCAGGTCAGTTTCCAGAGAATGGAGGCTTATGAGGCCTGCCTCTTCCTTGGTCATGTCTAAGGTGAGAGACGTGGTCAGTACCTCTAAACCCTGACTGGCCTTCCAGCTCTGCTCTATACTTCTGTGGGGCCCACACGACAGAGAGGACATGCCAGGTAAATATGCTTGTTCACTTAACAAATATTTATTGAGCGCACACCATGTGCCAGGTGCTACGTTAGATGTTAGGGGTCTGGCAGTGACCAAGAGAAGCAGACACCATTCTTCAAGAGCTCACTGCTTAGCGAGGCTCACAGACTAAGTAAGTCACTGCAACAAGAAGCAACGTTTGTCACGGCCTGGGAAGTACCCTGGGCTGAGGGAGGATGCATCTGGGTAGGAGGGGATGGGAAAGCCCTCTAGAGCAGAGGTTCTCAAAGTGAGGACCCTGGACCAGCAGCACTGGCACCCCTTGGAAATTGCTAGTGATGAAAATTCTGGGTTCCTGTCCCAGACCTACTGAGTCAGAAATTCTGGGGTGGGGCCCAGCAGTCTGTTTTAACACACCCTCGGTATGATTCTGATGCACACTCAGGTGAGGGAACCATGCATTAGATTTTCGCTGGGCCTTTGGCCCAAAGTCCTATGTGATCTCTGTTCAGGAGAGCTGGGCTGGACCAGATGTGAGCTGGGAAGACTTCTTCCGCTTTAAGCTTGAAACCTAAACAAGAGGCTGCTCAGTGGCCTGTTCTGTCTCACCTTCCCAACACCCACACCCAGGTACCCTAGGGCATGCACACGTGCACACACACGCACACAGCCTTTTTTTTTTAAACATAGGCGGGGCATATGATAGACACTGTTTTCCATTTGCTTTTGTCACTGAACATCATACACGGGAGAGTCTTCTCCACAGCACACAGGCCCGAGCATTTAGGCAGTGGCGTAGCGCTTGATGTGGTGGGCACAGATAGAAGTATCAGTAAGGTGCACGCCTTTTAACCTTGGCTTTGTCCAGGGCTCTGGCTCCTTAATTTGACATGCCCTCCAGTGTCAACCCCATGGCCTGCCCTGCTGGCCCCTCCTTTTTCATCTCCTACAATTCCTTTTTGTGCCTCATCTAAGAAACCGGACCCTGACTCAGCCCTGTTTCTGCTTCTCCTTTTCTGTGTCAACCTCTACATCCCACAAACTCTTGTGTTCTGTGTAACCAGGACAGAGCAGGGCTGGCTCCTTGATTGCATGGGGCCTGGTTGTCATCGAGGCACACTTCAGGCTCGGCTGCTACACCAGCAGGTTAATTTCCAAGAGAGGGGACACGGTGTCATGATCATGCAGATCTCTCTGTTGCCTAATCCTGGGACACCCTGTCTGGCTACACGGCAGAAGAGGCTGCTTCTGACCCCTGGCCACTTTTCAGGACATGAAAGCCCAATTGGCGAGTGTCCCACAGAAGGACAAGGGGGGTTTTGGGAGACATAAGCAATTCCTAGGCAGTTGCCCACCCTGCCCCCTCCATACCACCTCCTTTTATCCGCTCTCACCCTCCTACCCCATTCCTCCCACCTCATTTAATTTCCTTCCCAGCCTCTCTTTCCCCCACCCCTCCCCACTCCGTATTTCTTCTATCCAGGTGGTCATTTTCCCTCCTTAATCTCTGCCTCTCCTTGCCTACCTGGCCTCTCCCAGGGTCTCACCCCCCAGCATTTGACAAACCAAAGGAAATGGGTCCAATAGTCCTTTGTCCCTCTCTCAGTTCTGCTCAGCTGCCCCATTGTGCTGGGTCACGTCCCAAAGTGAAAGAGGGTATTGGGCACATCCATGTCGGATTCCTTGCATCCTGCCTGGATCATCCAAGAAGCCACCTCCTCCCTGAAGCCCTCCCACCCTCCACAGCAGGGAATCAGTCATCCATGAGAGGCAGACAGTCTCTGAAGGTCTAAGCTTTTTGGGGGTGGTGGAAATTCCTTTGTTCATACCTAATGGTGTAGATTGGACACTTTTGACAATAAATAACAGGGCGATTCACTCAAAATAGCTCAAAAGAATAGAAACATTTTCTCACAAATCTAGATATTAGCTGTGGTCTTGTATTACTCTCTAACACTCTGTTGTAATAATCCTTGATGAGTTTACTACCCACAACATCTCTGTTTGTCTTTGCAACCTAATAACCTCAAAACTTAGGGGCTTAAATGACATTATTCTGTGATTCTGTGGATTAGGTGGGTGGTCCAAGGTGGCTTCGTTCCCATGTCTGGCAGTTGGTGCTTGTTGTCCATGAGACTGCCTCAGTTCTCTACGTGGTCTCTCTTCCGCCGGTTGGTCAAAGTGGCTTCTCTGCACGATGTCTCAGACATAAGCAGAAACTGCAAAGCATCTTAAGGCATAGCCTCAGAAGTCACATAATGTTACTTCTGCCACATGCTATCAGTCAGAGCAAATCTACAGAGCCAAGCCACAATTAGGGAGTCAGGAAACAGTATCTACCTTTTCAGAAGGAGTAATAAAGTCACATTATAAAGGGCTATGTGTACCAGGATGGAAGGACTTTGAAGCCATACTTAGCCTCTACCCAAAAGGCTAAACCACAAGTTTCCTCTTGCTCCTTCACCAAGGGGTTCCTGGAACTCCTCTCCTCTAATGGTCTTGTTTTTCCCATTTCTCAGCCACTCACTCCCATGATCCTAACCTCCAGATCTTACCATCACCAACATCTGTAGCCTTCATATCTCGCCTCCTAGCCTCTAAGCCTCCGACCCCACCTCCACTTTACTGCTCACTCTCACTAGCACCTTGGCTCCAGTGGTTCTTTGACCCCAGTAGGACCACTGATATTTCAATTTTCCACAGATCCTCAGCCTCCTCGTGCCCTGACTTTCCATCATCCTGAAGTCCATGGGCCATCATTACTGTTCCTCCCTTACATACATCCTCAGTTCTTTTACTCTTTTCTGATCTTGCTGTGTCCACCTGGCAAAATTCCAGGCCTGGTGAGATCCAACTCCCCACCTGCACCCATGAGGTTGAATGCAGCTGGAGAAAACCACACGTGGCACTGACTGGGATCACTCTAAATTACTGATAGCCATATTCAAAGGGTCCTTGATGCCCACCAACTGCATTTTCCTCTCAGACATTACTTCACACCTTCTGCCTTTTCCCTGAACCTCCAAAACTACCTCTGTCATCCTCATTCTTCACTGATGACTTCGTTTCCTATGTCACCAGGAAAATAGGAGCCGTCAGAAGAGAATTTTTATGTGTCCCACCTCGCCTCTTGCCATCCATGCTTTCCCGGGAACCTTCTACTCTGTCTCCCTCTTGTTACTTGGATGGATTCTCCACACTGCCATCTAAGTCCTTCCATCGCCCTTTGCACAGGATCCCGTCCTCTCTCACCCACTCAAGGACGCTGCTCTAGCCATTTGCTCTAGTGATGATCAGCAGCTTGTCTTGCTCTCCCGGATTCTTCTCATCAGCACAGGCACACAACTTTACTTCTCCTATCTTAAATAAACAAACAAAAAAACAAACGAGCAGACAAAGTCTTCACTGATTCCACTTCCACCTCTGGTTACTGACTTGCTTCTGCAGTCCTCTTTATAATAATATTATTTAAAAGAGTTGCCTTTACTTGTGTCTGGTTCCACTCCACCCACGCTTTCTGGAACCCACTCTCCTC